GAAGGCTGAAATCAACAAAATAAATAGCCGGAAACAAGTTGCTAGCAAAAAACATTGCCTGAAGCAGAAGCACATCTCTCAGTAAGAATGACGTTTCTGGATTCATGAACGAAGCTACATAAAGACATCGTTAAAAAATAAACAAATGAAAGGAAATCCATGCGATTCGGAGTTTAGAATTCAGTGTCATTTGTGATCAAGGCATGATCAGAGCCCAACTCCTCCACAAATATTCGCCTTCGTATAACAGAGTCACACAGAGCAGGTTCAGTGAAAAATGTACAGCATATATGCAAGATTTAAAAAATCGGAAATAACTAATTAATTAATTAGATATTCTCATGAAAAAAATTATAACGCACCGTGTATCCATCGTCACGAATCTCTTGGAAATCCCACTTGATCGTAATATTGCCATAAGGATCACTCGAGTCATAAGCATCTGTTTAACGTTCAGAAAAATTAACACAATTTAATATTAACTAAAAAATAATTAAGGCACGAACAAAAAGAAACTGCCCAAATTACCTGCCAGAGATACGGAGAGATAGAAAACAAAGCATGAAGCAATGCCATGCGGCAGTCTCCAGAGCTCATATTTTCATTTCTCATAAAAAATATAATAAAAAAAAGGAGAGGGTATTAAAATAGCGGAGAAAAGAGTTATGAGATTTGCAAAAATAGCAATAATTATCCTGTAATATATATATATATATATATATATATATATTTGCAATGAAAACCGCAGTAATTAATGGGCAAGGTAGCTGATATGGAAGGATCCAATGAATGAATGTGGCAAAAGAAATTCTAGAAAAAGAAGAAGAGAAAATATACCTGGCAATCTTTTTCTTTCTCTTCCCGTTTTTGGAGGGAAAGCCGGCCACGGAGGCAAGCCACGTAAGCATGGAGCCCACAGAGATAGAAGGAGAAGGCGACTCCTTCAAACGGAAATTGTGAAGGTGCAGTCTATTTCTTCCTGAAAATTTTTATCCCATCTAAGTAATTGACCTATTCTTTTGTTGCTTCTTGTTAAATTTGAATTCTTATTTGTGCATTAAAAGTCTTTTTTTTCTTTTTTTTTCTTTTTTAAATAATCTCTGCTTTACATATACCGCAGCATGAGTGAAGGTAAACTTTAGCTTCCTATAAATCTTCAACTTGAACCTCGGATTAAATATTACATTATAAAGTGCAGCACATGTTAAATGCAGAAAATGCTGACATATTTGTCATCTGCATTTTTATTGCATGGAACATATTTTCAAATTCAAAAGTTAAATGTTTTTATTAGTTGGAAAAGTTAATTAGATTTGCATTCTCTTGTAGTAAGAGATATACCATCATTGCAAATCAAATGTTTGTTTTTCTCAAATGTAAAAATGATCTATGTATTCTGATTTGAAATTAAACTAACACGATAATGTGACTTGATACGAATAAAGGACTCGCAATATTTTTGCAGTCAAATTGACTTGTTTATTTTTTTAAACAAAATGCAAATCTAGTTATTATTTCCAATTAATTTATTGCTAATTGAACGTTGAAAATAAAAATTTAACTGCAACATTTGTTAGTGTTAACCAAACATCCCCTAGACGAATAGTTTAGCCTTTTGTATCCTTTTACGTCATTGAATAAAAGAAGAAAGCATTTATCAAAAATAATAATAATAATAATGATGATGAGGATAGGAAAATGATAACTACTTGTGCTGTTTTTGCAAGGAAAATGATAACTATGCTACTCTTTTCTATACTAGATATTTTAGTCGGTATGCGATTTTAGAGAGAGTTAAAAAGAGGACAGACCCAACACTTTTCTGTGTACTAGTGTAGCAGTAGCGGAGTAGTCACAGCTCTTTTGGCAATTAGAGTTGCATGCACAAAACTATCTATAGGGGGAAGAAAAGGCATTTATAAGACAATTGTTCCTATACTCCGCAGGAAAGCTAGAAGGATTTCACTATTATAATGAACAAATTGTGGACCTCGTAGTTTTTTGTTGCAGCTCCCTGGTGTTGCAGCTCCCTGGGGAGAGAAAAACTATGGTCGTCCTCAATATCACACCATCCTAACTCTTTAGGTACAAACGAGTAATCATTGGGTGCTCTAAAACGGAAAGTAAACTACTGCATTTGAACATGCAACTTGGTCACAGAATGCAACAATATCAATCCCGATATCACGACTATCTGACACTTCACAGCCTTGCCGACGCTCACAAGCATCAAAGCGAAATTTTGAGACATTAACCTACACGCGATGCAGATTTTGCTATTATTTGCACAAGGTGAAAAGCCAATAGTCACGGTCCATTCCAACAAAACAAGATCCATACCGCTACTACTTATTAGAGCGCCTATGTGTAATACACAGATAAAAAGGCATCTAGTGCATAACCCTATCCACTGGATATAGATTTTCAAGTAAGAAATTATGCAGCATCAAGCACGAATAAACTCTCGGTTTATCTTCAGTCTCGACTCCTTAATTCACAGATTTGACTTGGTTAATCGTGAAGCTTTTCTCACATGAACCCGGTGCCACGATGTGTTGAGAATACCTCTCAGATTCCATATGTCCTCCACATTCTCAGGTTGAACATTTGCTGCTGTGTCAACCTGCTCCAGAAGCAACAGCAAAACAAATTTTAACTATTGTGAATTGTAAGAGCAAAGAACAGACAAAATTACCTTATCGAGATATTTCAGAAGACTACATCCTGTATTAGTGGTTATTTAAGCCAATGTAACATGCTCCGTGTCAGCCTACCAACTTTGGAAATCAAAGTTCGGTGACCACTTTGTTTGAAATTTGGAAAAAGGATGTGAGTCCCGCTAGTTAATAATTATTATTAGTGACGGGTCCTACTAATAATATTTTATTAGTGCATAGTATTTTCCAAACACTATAAATAGGACACTAAACTCTTAAGGAAAACTCATCCCGAAAACTCCTCCTCTCATAAAAGAGTAAGAGAGAAAACACAGAGAGAGATTGTAAGAGTTCTTAGAGTGTATCTGATCAAAAGGGTGTTCTCTTTCATCTATTCTTTTGGGATATAGAAGAATTTTGCGTCGTCGTTGTACCGTGGAGTAGCTCCGAAGGAGTGAACCACATATATCTGTGAGTACTGTGATTGATTTTTGTGCCTTTATTCTGTGTATCACGTTTCCGTTCGAGGCGTTATTGTTGGTGTGTACCCTAACTGGTATCAGAGCCTAACTTAGTATATATATTTGCTTATCGTATGCTCTGTGGCTGCCATGAAAAGTGGATCCTCTACATCAGAAAATAAGTTAGATTATTATTTACTCTTTTAAGACACTAGGCACTATTCACGAATACGATATTATTCACCAGTACAGTACTATTTACAATTATTATTACTATTCACAAATAAGGTTCGGGAAAGATGTAATCTTTCACCATGGGATCTACAGTTGAAGACAACAGGCTTCGAATTAAAAAATTCGGTGATCAAAATTTTAGGTATTGGAGGATGCAAATAGAAGACTATTTATACTAGAAAGATCTCTTCCTACCCCTCCAAGGAGAGACGGGGAAACCTGAGAAAATGGACAACGATAAGTGGAAGGTGCTCGATCGTAAAGCACTTGTCATCATCAGGCTCAACCTTCACCAGCATGTAACTTACAATGTCTCGCATGCGACCACCACCAAGAAGTTGATGAAGGCTTTGGAGGCGCTGTATAAGAAGCCGTTTGATTCAAATAAGGTGTATCTGATGAAGAAGCTAATCAATCTAAAAATACAGCAGGGAGCTCGCATAGCGGACTTCTTGAACGAATTTCAAGCTGTGGTGCAATAGCTTGCTGCAGTAGATCTCAAATTCGATAATGAGATCCAAGCTCTTCTGCTACTTTCTTGTCTACTAGATTCGTGGGAGAATATGGTGATGACGGTGAGCAACGCCATTGGCAATGACAAGATGAAGCTCGACTCGGTAATTGGAGCAATTTTGGATGGAAAATATCGCCGCAAAGTCTCAGGAGCTGAGACATCTAGTAATGATAGTGCTCTGCATGTCGAGGCACGAGGGCATGTGCAGAAGAAGGGAAGGGGACAAAGGTAAGTCTAAAGGGCCGAACCCGAATGGTTACGGTGAAGGGAAGTGCTTCAGATGCGGAAAGAAGGGTCACTTTGCACGGGACTGCAGAGTTTCTGTTCCAGCATCAGTAAGGGATGATCGGGCTCACGGTGCAGCCAATCTCATGCACGAGACGAATTTAAATGCGCTTCTCCTATCCCTAGAAGACAAAAGTGATGCGTGAGTCATCGACTCTGGCGCATCTTTCCATGCAACCTCACAACAAAAGCTGCTTTCATCGTTCGTGAAGAATGACTTGGGAACAGTCTATCTTGGCGACGATCAATCTTGCAAGGTTTCCGGGAAGGGAAATTGTACCCTCAAGATGGAAGGGACCACCTTGACGCTGAATGATGTTCGGCATGTATCGGACCTCAGGCGAAATCTTATATCAGTCGGGCAACTGACTGACTCCGGTTACAGAGCATCATTCAAGCAGAGAAGCTGGAAGGTGTCCAAGGGTGCCCTAGTGGCTAATGGTGGCACACGGCAAACGCGAGGGGTCTCTCTACATCGTCAACGGGAAGATCGAACACTTGCTTGCTGCAGGACAAGCATTATCATCATCATCCGTCGACTGCATGACTTGGCATCAACGACTTGGCCACATGAGCGAGAAGGGGATGCAGATTATGGCCGTGGGAGAGAGGCTTCCGGGTCTGAACAAGATCGATCTGACTTTCTGTGAGGACTGCATCCTAGGCAAACAAAAGAATGTGAGCTTCAACAAGACCAGACTGGCTCTAAAACTGTAAAAATTGGAGTTGATACACACCAACATGTGGGGACCTGCGCAAGTCCCATTTGTTGAAAATTCTCTTTACTTTGTCACTTTTATTGATGATGCTACTAGAAAATTATGGGTGTTTTTCTTGAAGCACAAGTCAGATGTTTTCATCGTCGTCAAGAAGTGACTTGCCTGTATGAAGAACGAAACATGCAATAAGCTGAAATGCCTAAAGTCTAATAATGGAGGCGAGTATTGTAACCAGGAGTTTGAGAACTTATGCTCGTCCCATGGGATTAGGAGACTGAAGACCGTCCTAGGCACACCTCAGCACAACGGAGTGGCAGAGCGTATGAATCGCACTATCTTGGAGCGCGCCAGAAGTTGAGGATCCACTCCTGATTGCCCAAGAGTTTTTGGACCGAAGCTATCAATACTGCTGCATACTTGATCAACCACGGGCCATCCGCGGCTCTCAGTTATGGGATACCTGAAGAGTCTTGGTTCAGAAAGAAGCTGAAACTAGAGCACTTACGAGTATTTGGTTGTGACGCCTATGTCATGACCAATCCTGCAGACCGATCAAAACTTGATCTGAAGTAAAAAAAAACTCTTTCATCGACTATGGAAGAGATGAGTATGGGTACCGTTTCTGGGATCATGATGCGCGCAAGGTGGTGCGTAGTCGTGACGTCGTGTTCCATGAGAATGCGGTGTACAAGAAAAAAGAGGTGAGTGGGGGTCAACTATCTTCCCCTCTTTTCTCAGATATTGCTGATAGTGAGGACGGTGGTGAAATACCTATCAGCATAGAAGACGGAGACCAAAAGAACGTGTCGGATGTACAGCAACAGGATCTAACAGAGTTGCCGATCGCAATTCGCAAAGCTCCAAGAAATCCAAGGGTGCCAGAGAGGTACCGTTCCACCATGAATTATCTTCTCCTGACTGATAATAGTGAGCCAAAAAGCTATGAGGAGGTACAACAAATCGATAAAGCTCGGGGCGAGTGGGAGTCTGCCATGGAGGAAGAAATAAAGTCCTTGATGAAGAATGAGACTTGGGAGCTCGTAAAGCTTCCAAGAGGGAGAAAAGCTTTTCACAATCGGTGGATTTATCGGGTCAAGGATGAAGCTGATGGACGGAGATGCTACAAGACGAGGCTTGTAGTGAAGGGCTATGAGCAGAAAGCAAGGATAGACTATTCTGACGTTTTCGCTTCCGTCGTCAAGTTGATCATGATCCGGACTGTGCTGAGCATTATGACAGTTCGAGATCTCCATCTAGAGCGGATGGATGTGAAGACGACATTCCTTCATGGAGATTTAAAGGAAGAGATCTATATGCATCAACCAGTGGGCTTCGAGGAACGAGACATGAAGGGCCTCGTGTGTCGCCTGCGCAAGAGCTTGTATGGCCTGAAGCAAGCTCCGCGACAGTGGTACATGAAGTTTGAGAACTTTACGGAGAAGAACGGTTTTCTCAAATGTGACACAGACCACTGTTGTTTCATCAAGAGATATAGCGAATCTTATGTGATACTCTTGATTTATGTTGATAACATGTTGATTGCAGGGCCCGACTTAGCCCGCATTGAAGAACTTAAGAGGCGTCTCTCAGAGTGCTTCGAGATGAAGGATTTGGGTCCAGCAAACCAGATTCTGGGGATGAGGATCATCAAAGACAAATCAGCACGGAGGCTGAGGTTGTCTCAGAAGGCCTAAATTTAGAAGATTTTTAAAAAGTTCGGCATGGAGAAAACTAAACCAGTGGGCTCGCCGTTTGCAAACCATTTCAAGCTATCGAAGACCCAAGCACCAGAGACTGCTGAAGAGCATGAGTTCATGACCAACATACAATACGCATTTACCGTCGAAAGTTTGATGTATGCGATGGTGTGTATAAGATCAGATATTGCACATGGAGTAGGAGTTGTGAGCCGCTTCATGAGCAATCTGGGGAAACAACACTGGGGTGCGGTCAAGTGGCTTCTACGCTACTTGAGATGTTCGTCTGACTGAGTATGACAGGACAGATTTACAGCTAGAGGGCTTTTGTGATGCAGACTACGCAGGAGACATAGACTCAAGAAGGATCACGAGCGGCTACATCTTCATCTTGGTGGTGGAGCGATAAGTTGGAGATCTAAGTTACAGGATAATGTGGCTTTGTCGACAACCGAAGGCTGAGTACGTGTCTGCAGCAGAGACAGCAAAGAAGTTGCTATGGTTGAAGGCTTTTCTTCTCGAGCTTGGAGTAAGCTTTGAGAAATACTTCATCCACTGCGACAGTCAGAGTGTCGTTCACTTGTCAGAGAACGACGTATTCCACGCTCGGACCAAGCATGTTGACGTGAAGCACCATGCCATACGAAGATGGCAAAGCAGGAATGACGAGGTGGAATCACTTCATGTACCATTGTCGCGGAGCTTGCTTCAGGTCATACAAGCTCTTGCGCAGGCGACACACGAGATCCTTCATGTCTCGTTCCTCGAAGCCCAATGGTTGATGCATATAGATCTCTTCCTCCAAATCTCCATGAAGGAATGTCGTCTTCACATCCATCCGCTCTAGATGGAGATCTCGAACTGCCACAATGCTCAGCACAGTCCGGATCGTGATCAACTTGACGACGGAAGCGAAAACGTCAGAATAATCTATCCCTGCTTTCTGCTCATAGCCCTTTACTACAAGCCTCGTCTTGTAGCATCTCCGTCCATCAGCTTCATCCTTGACCCGATAAATCCACCGATTGTGAAGAGCCTTTCTCCCTCTTAGAAGCTTTACGAGCTCCCAAGTCTCATTCTTCATCAAGGACTTCATTTCTTCCTCCATGGCAGACTCCCACTCGCCTCGAGCTTTGTCGGTCTGTTGTACCTCCTCATAGCTTTTTGGCTCACCATTATCAGTCAGGAGAAGATAATTCATGGTGGAACGGTACCTCTCTAGCACCCTTGGATTTCTTTGAGCTTTGCGAATTGCGATCGGCAAATCTGTTAGATCCTGTTACTGTACATCCGACACGTTCTCTTGATCTCCGTCTTCTATGCTGATAGGTATTTCACCGCCGTCCTCACTGTCAGCAATATCTGAGAAAAGAGGGGGAGATAGTTGACCCCTCTCACCTCTTTTTTCTTGTACACCGCATTCTCATGGAACACGACGTTACGACTACGCACCACCTTACGCGCATCGTGATCCCAGAAACGGTACCCATACTCATCTCCTCCATAGTTGATGAAAGAGAGTTTTTTTGACTTCGGATCAAGTTTTGATCGGTCTGCAGGATTAGTCATGACATAGGCGTCACAACCAAATACTCGTAAGTGCTCTAGTTTCAGCTTCTTTCCGAACCAAGACTCTTCAGGTATCCCATAACTGAGAGCCGCGGATGGCCCGCGGTTGATCAAGTATACAGCAGTATTGACAGCTTCGGTCCAAAAACCCTTTGGCAATCAGGAGTGGATCCTCAACTTCTGGCGCGCTCCAAGATAGTACGATTCATACGCTCTGCCACTCTGTTGTGCTGAGGTATGCCTGGGACGATCTTCATCCGTTGTGCTGAGGTGTGCCTGGGACGGTCTTCAGTCTCCTAATCCCATGGGACGAGTTGAAGTTCTCAAACTCCTGGCTACAATACTCGCCTCCATTATTAGACTTTAGGCACTTCAGCTTATTGCATGTTTTGTTCTTCATACAGGCAAGCCACTTCTTAAAGGCGATAAAAACATCTGACTTGTTCTTCAAGAAAAACACCTATAATTTTCTAGTAGCATCATCAATAAAAGTGATAAAGTAAAGAGAATTTTCAACAAATGGGACTTGCGCAGGTCCCACACGTCAGTGTGTATTAACTCTAATTTCTACAGTTTTAGAGCCAGTCCGGTCTTGTTGAAGCTCACATTCTTTTGTTTGCCTAGGATGCGGTCCTCACAGAAAATCAGATCGATCTTGTTCAGACCCGGAAACCTCTCTCCCGCGGCCATAATCTGCATCCCCTTCTCGCTCATGTGGCCAAGTCGTTGATGCCAAGTCATGCAGTCGACGGCTGATGATGATAATGCTTGTCCTGCAGCAAGCAAGCGGTCGATCTTCCCGTTGACGATGTAGAGAGACCCCTCGCGTTTGCCGTGTGCCACCACTAGGGCACCCTTGGACACCTTCCAGCTTCTCTGCTCGAATGATGCTCTGTAACCGGAGTCAGTCAGTTGCCCGACTGATATAAGATTTCGCCTGAGATCCGATACATGCCGAACATCATTCAGCGTCAAGGTGGTCCTGCCTTCCATCTTGAGGGTACAATTTCCCTTCCCGAAAACCTTGCAAGATTGATCGTCATCAAGATAGACTGTCCCTAAGTCCTTCACGAACGATGAAAGCAGTTTTTGTTGTGAGGTTGCATGGAAAGATGCGCCAGAGTCGATGACCCACGCATCACTTTTGTCTTCTCGGGATAGGAAAACATTTAAATTCGTCTCGTGCATGAGATTGGCTGCACCGTCAGCCCGATCATCCCCTGCTGATGCTGGAACAGAAACTCTACAGTCCCGTGTAAAATGACTCTTCTTTTCGCATTTGAAGCATTTCCCTTCACCGTAACCATTCGGGTTCGGTCCTTTAGACTTCCCTTCGTCCTCGTCCCTTCTTCTGCGCACGCCCTCGTGCCTCGACATGCAGAGCACTCTCATTACTAGAGGCCTCAGCTTCTGAGACTTCGCGACGAGATTCTTCATCCAAAATTGCTCTAATTACCGATTCGAGCTTCATCTTGTCATTGCCATTGGCGTTGCTCACCGCCATCACTATATTCTCCCACGAATCTGGTAGACAAGACAGTAGCAGAAAAACTTGGATCTCATTATCGAATTTGAGATCTACTGCAGCAAGCTATTGCACCACAGCTTAAAATTCGTTTAAGAAGTTCGCCACGCAAGCTCCCTGCTGCATTTTTAGATTGAATAGCTTCTTCATCAGGTACACCTTATTTGAAACAGACGGTTTCTCATACAGCGTCTCCAAAACCTCCATTAACTTCTTGGTGGTGGTCGCATGTGAGACATTGTAAATCACATGTTGGTGAAGGTTGAGGCTGATGGTGGCAAGTGCTTTACGATCGAGCACCTTTTACTTATCGTCATCCATTTTCTCAGGTTTTCCAGCCTCTCCTTGGAGGGGTAGGAAGAGATCCTTCTGGTACAAATAGTTTCTATTTGCATTCTCCAATACCTAAAATTTTGACCGCCGAATTTCTCAATTCGAAGCCTGTTGTCTTCAATTGTAGATCCCATGGCGAAAGATTACGTCTTTCCCAAACCGTATTTGTGAATAGTAATAACACTTGTAAATAGTACCGTACTAGTGAATAGTATCGTATTCGTGAATAGTGCCCAGTGCCTTAAAAGAATAAATAATAATCTAACTTATTTTCTGATGTGGAGGATCCACTTTTAGTGGCAGCCATAGAACATACGATAAGCAGATATATATACTCTAAGTCAGGCTCTGATACCAGTTGTTAGGGTACACACCGACAATAACGCCTCGAACGGAAACGTAATACACAGAATAAAGGCACAAAAATCAATCACAGTACTCACAGATATACGTGGTTCGCTCCTTCGGAGCTACTCCACGGTGCAACGATGATGCGAAATTCTTTTATATCCCAAAAGAATAGATGAAAGAGAACACTCTCTTGATCATATACACTCCAAGAACTCTCACAATCTCTCTCTGTATTTTCTCTCTTACTTTTCTATGAGAGGAGTTGTTTCTAGGATGAGTTTTCCTTAAGAGTTTAGGGCCCTATTTATAGTGTTTGAAAAATACTATGCACTAATAAAATATTATTAGTGGGACCCGCCACTAATAATTATTAACTAGTGGGACCTGCATCCTTTTTTCCAAATTTCAAACAAAGTGGCCACCGAACTTTGATTTTCAAAGTTGGTCTCCATTCCTATCAAATTTATGCATGGACATTGGAATGACCCAAATATGGTCAATATTATCATTAATTGGCTAGTTGAAATTGCAAAAATAGAAGCACTATGCCGGTAAAGTGACTGAAGGGACGCCCATTTACATATAGATACATATGCATATACAACTACAAAGAGGGAGGGTTTT